TTGCAAAGAAAACTGCTTTTATGTCTAGGGTTTGAATACGTACGTACGTGTTCCTTGACATTAGGCCAAGATATTTTATAATAGAATGGAACATCGATTTGGATCTTGGTAAGAAATAATCATTGGTCAGTAAGTTTAGTTCACACTGATTATCACAGGGCCCCATGGAAGGGATTCTTGGGCTAGCTCTTAAAATTATTGGGGAAGTAATGAGCAATGTCTTGATATTTAAGTAGAGCCATGGGTTATGAGAAGAAAGGATGCTTCTCCTTTCTAGGGTTTCTCCTCTTTCTCTAGGGTTTTCTATAGAAGGTTGAGTGTTGACTAGAAAGAGCCCAAGTGACATCAGGCAGAGTACTTACCTGCTACACAGTAGGAGGAAAAACCTCAACAATAAAAGTAAACTCATGTGGCTCACAAAAGAGCCATCTGAGTTCAAATTCCAGATTCTTAACCAATTGTGAAATATGTAGCAAGACATTCATTCTGAAGAATGATTTAACGCATGGAAACTCTGGCTATCTACCTAGAGAGCACATGCCAGATCTGTGTTCTCTGAGGATGACTCCACTCTTTCCCTTAGGTGAGTGTTCCTCAGTGATGAAGGAGCAGAGACCAGGCTAGCCCATCAGGAAGAAGGGGCCCTCTGCCATTTATCTTGCAGTGTAATTGGACCATGTGATGGTCCCCACGTCTGCTGCCTACGACAAGTACAAGCTAAGCTAGTGTTAGCACTGAAGTCATATTTTCCCGTTTGTGTTTTAGGGTTTTTGTCAAGATCAAGGTAGTTTTCCAAGGGAATATGACATGCACATTTCACCTTTCATGCTTGCTGTATCAAGCAAAATGAAATATTGGAAATGACTGAACTGGAGCTCTCAAGCCTTTAAGCTGGGTGGAAGGTGGGGTCACAAAAGTGAAAGGTGAAATTTTTTAAGCAAAAATAACACCATGTGATTACATCAATAAAAGCAAAAAAAAAAATGCCGTTTGATCTTTTCTTTCCATTTCTGTTCACTCCTCTACTTAACACGTTCTGAAATATGTAACTTGTCATACTACATTTCCCTATGTTCTGCTTAAAGCAATGGCAGCACACACTTCATTCCAGACTGAAGTGACTTGACACTCTTGCAGATATCGGGACCATGTGCAGATAAATTCATTTTTTTATTGCCTGGGTAGCAGATTATCACGTGGTCTTCCTAACATTGCATGCCTGGGACTTCAGCATCACAGACAGAGAGCACACTGCTTACCTGATTTCCATGGTGATTAAGAGAAAACACCATGATTCTCTCAGGGTGACTCTGGCTGGAAACATCACAAAGGTGGATCCATGTGATTCACTACATGCAGTAAGTTAGTTAAGATAGACATTTTGATGTTTCAGCCAAGTGTCTTAACACATGTGTACTGAGCACTGACTCTGATGACTTCCAGTAGTGCTGAGTCAAGTAGGGCTCATGTGTGAGTATACATCTGTGTGTACATCTATATGAAGTGTGTGCATGTGTGAGTATCTATGTAAACATGTGTGAAGATACGTGGTGTGCATGTGTGTCAGTGTACGTGTGTGTGGGAGAGTATGTGTTTAAAAATGTTAGGGAAAACAGGCTGCATTTAGTTTATCACATTAGGAAAAACAAACTCCATTTCTGACCTCAGTCCTAATAAAAATCTTGATAAATTATATTTAGTTTATCTTATAAGAGATTTGGCCTGGTTATTTGTACCATGACTTTTAGTATTTTGTGTAGATGGTTGTGCTCATAAAGTGATATATTTTCGTAAACTGAAAGTGGTAACTTTTCATCTCATTGAATGCTACATTAAAATTGAATGTTAGAAAAGGCAATGTTTGGCTATTTGTCCCTGTGCTTTTTCCAATCATGGTCTCAACATCTCTCGCTCATACAATCCCTCCTCTCTCTCGCCAATTGGACTCCTGGAGTTCCAAACTAGTGGAAACACATGAACTATGAACCAATAGTGAGGAGCCCCCGTGGAACTGGATCAGGTCCCCTGGATAAGTGAGACAGTTGATTAGCTTGAACTGTTTGGGAGGACCCCAGGCAGTGGGACTGGGACCTGTCCTTAGTGCATGAGCTGGCTTTTTGGAGCCTGGGGCCTATGCTGGGACACTTTGCTCAGCCTGGGTGAAGGGAGGAGGGGACTGGACCTGCCTCAACTGAATCTACCAGGCTGAGCTGAATCCCCAGGGGAGTCCTTGCCCTGGAGGAGATGGGAATGGGGGGTGAGCTGGGGGGAGGGTGGGGAGGGGGGCCCTGGAGGAGGGAGGACAGGGGAATCTGTGGCTGACATGTAAAATTAAATTAATTATAAAATTAAAAAAATAAAGACAGAGAATGTCTAGAAAAAAAGGCAATATAAGAAAAATCAAATTTAAATACTCTTTGAAAAAAAAGTAAATGAAAGTATTTGTGGAAAAAAAATGCTTTGGGACCAATGAGATGATTCAGCTGGTAGAGATGCTTGCTGCCTAGCCTGAGGACCAGAGTTCAAGCCCCAGGATACACATTGGTGGGAGGAGAAAATCAGTTACTGCATATTATTCTTTGACTTCCATGAATGTGTACACACACACACACACACACACACACACACACACACACACACACACACACACACAACCCTGTATAAATAAAAAAAAATCACATTTTCCCCTTGTTTTAAGAGAATGTTTAGCTTATGGGCATATTCTCATTACTTTTTGAGGATGAAGATTGGGCTTAAATATTGTGCTTAACATAAATGTGAGTCTCTCCTGTCTCCCTTAATCACTTAAATGAAAAAATAAATAAATTTAACACGAGGAAAGTTGTAATCGCTTTCCTGTGATCCATTCAAACAAACTTTAAGTTCTTCAGTCGATAATGGAGTCTTGAGTTTGAAATAAACACTATGTTGATTTTAGCAGGAACTTGGCTAAATGTTAATTGTCATTGTGCTGAGTGTTTTTATTGTCATGAAAATAAATTATCTCACATTATTTTAAAAGGTTTATTTTTTATTTGTATGTGTGTTGGGGTGCATGCAGGTATGCATGGGTGCATATATGTATGTGCACCAGTGTGTGGGTGTCCATGGAGGCCATTACAAGGGCACTAGTTTCCCAGGAACTAGAGTTCCAGTGGTTGTGGGTACTGGTAAACAAACTCAGGTCCCCTAGCAGAACAGTAAGTGCTCTGAATTGCTAAGCCATCTCACAAGACTCATATTACATTTTTCAGTGGAAAGGTAGATGGAATTAAGTTTTGAAATATATGGCTTATTTTCTTGGATTATTTCTTTCATGGAATATTTACATCATATTAATCATAATAGATGTAAACCATTATTGTAGAGACAGAGAGCCACTCACTACAAATGCAAAAGTTCCTTCTAGGAAAAAAATGTAAAATGTGTGATTATTTATGTACTTTCCCATATGACAAAGGAAGTCAACACATACGATTATAATAGAATGTATATTGAACAGGTCTGCCTGTGGGGTTGGGTTTACATGGTCTCCATATCTGGCTTATTGCTGTGTAAGAAGTCATGTGAGTTCATGATTGCATGTTACTGCTAATGATGGAAACACTGATTTAGATGTCTCTCTACAAATATATGTGCATTAATATGCTACATAATATAAAACTATCTTTTTTAATGTAGAATTTATAAAGGCATCATAATTTCTATGACAGTTTATTTGCAAGAAGAAAGTTAAGCACAAAATCTCAAAAGGGACTGCAGAATTCAATTAATATTATAACTTCATTTTACGAGCACTGAAACTGGGGTCCAGACAGGCAAGAAGTTTGTCCTGTAGTCAGTGGAAGACAGAAGCCGAACTTGTACACGTTTATTTTACTTTTGGTTCAATGCTTTCTCAGCCTGACTTGCCCTTCCTGGTATGGTTTAGAACTTCTTGATAAAATCAGTGGTTCTTATAACTCTCCTCTCCCTTTGGTGACAAATGGAAAAAGGTGGTCTTGTTTCTCTGAAGCGTTTACACATGACTGCAACCAGTTCCCTACCTTTGAGATTTTTGATCTGGCTTTTTATGGATCATTCAACCAAAGCCATATCTACTCCTCACCTTCCTCTTTATGACATGCATTTTTAAAATGTTGTAATCATGCTCTGAGATGGCTCATTTAATTACATACTGAACCTCTGTCCTGGAATTTAATGACTTCGTCCTGGACCATGAGGAGCTTAAAAAACAATTCAGGAAAGCCTCCAAAATAACTTACCTTGAAAAACTAGAATGTGTGCTCTCTCATGCTCACACATTTGTTCATAGTCCTCTTTCCTGTTTGCTTGTCTTCCCTTCTATTTTTACATAATTAAAATTTTACTATACTATAAGATCTTATGCACCCAGACTATTTTGGTTTATTTATTTATATAACCAGCATTTATGTATTTGTGTGTATATGTGCTTGTGTTTTGTTTTTGTTTTGGTAGTGTTATTTTCATAGTTGGAAAACTGCATTTGAGGACAGAAGCATCAGGGTACATTTTTACTAACAGACTTGAGCAACGCTTGTTTTTCTAACTTCTGGACTCTGGCCAACACACAGGGACTTCTATCAGCTGAAATGGCATCTTCAACCTCAGCCCAGTGTAGGTTATTAGGTTGTACATGTCCAAAACGATGACTCGTCCCCACACTTCATCCAGCGTGAATTAAAACAAGAGTGTAAAATAATTATAATCTCTTGAAGCAAAGCCAGCTGTGGCCACTCCAGCCCATCGTTCTCCAGGAATTCATATACAGTTCTTATTTTAACAGGACTGACTTGCAGAGGGCATTCACTTGGGACTGCTTAGCCAGCTGCACAACTTTTATTTTGAAGAAAAAAAATTGAGCCTCAGAACAAGCTGTTTTAAAGACAGGGAGGGACTTAGCCTTGCCGGCTTGACCAGCATGTGGAAGGAGAGTTCTCATGGCTGCAATAACTTAGGGGGAACTCCTACCTGGGTGTCGCTTGGGGTAGGAAGATTTCTGTTTGTTTTGTTCTGTTTCCGAGGGTCCCGTGTGTTTCTCTTGCCTGTATCAACGTGACTCTTGGTGGGTTTTGCACACCCTGCCCTGTGGGGGAGTGCCCCAACGTGCCTGTCTTATGTGGCCTCTATGGACACACTGCCCGGCTGGCAGAGAACAGGGAAGTTTTCTCCCAGCACCCAAAAAGAGAAAGAGGAAACTGCTTTTTCCTTCTGGGCTCCTTGCAGCACAATAGCTCAGGATAAGCTTCCACGTTCCCTCCCTGGATTTTCTGGAGTGCTTTCCAGGAAGAAGTTAAAACTTCATCTTTAAATGGATGAGTATGTCACAATCAGGAAGAAACATCTCCAAAGACCCATCTTTAGGTAAGTCATGCTGCATCCCAGGTGGCTCTGGGGCTGCCAGGCACGGTGGTTTCTCTCCATCTTCAACCTGAGGAATGTGGCACTAAAGTACGGCCGAGCAACGAAGAACGCCTCGAGGTTAACTCCGTGCATACTAAAGAAATCCTTTTATGTTCTGTGTTCTGAAGCTCGCTCGGCACATAAGCTCTTATCAACTCCTCAAAATGTGTTTTAAAACACATCTTAGCTATTCAAGCACGTGAGTGACATAGCTCTGGAAAAACTTTTAAAACCTTGTGCAATCTCTCTGCTGCTGAGCGCTGCTGCACACTCTTCTAATTGGAAAATATTGTGCTTGGTTCTTTGAACCGATTACACTCAAGGGCAGGGTTTCTGTGCTATGAATGCTAGGTCTTCCTGAAGTAATGTGCTCTGAGATAAATTTGAACTTGATAGCTACTGGACTGGAGTGTACATTTTCTAGATCCTTTGGGAATGTCAGGTGAGCAGTTAGGAAAAGAACAGGGCAAAGAGGAGCGCTGAAGTATGTATGGCCAGGAAATTATGGGCATGATAGTTTATTTGGTGTATGGGGGAGCACTGGTTTCTAATTTTTTTTAGCTTGATTGTTTAGTTATATGTTGCAAGTTTAGAATTTAGTATTGAAAATGAATAATTTCTAAGAATATAAAAAATAAACAATTTCTGCTTCTCAAAACAAAGGCGTCAAATGCCAACTTTCTATTATCTCCCCCCCAAAATATTGTAAGCATACAAAAATAGTAAATGTTAATGACAGTAGATATTAATTAATTAACTTGTTAATCTCAAGTTGTAGCCATTGATTGTTGATCTAGGTAAAATTCAGAATAATAGAAATCTATGGAATGGACTCCTATAGTTACTTTATCTTGAATAGGGGTAGCTCTTAAAGAGTGGATTTACATAAAATGTGGCCATTTTATACACTAAGTAAATATTATTACAGTTTCATTAGTAGAAATAGTATACTTTGGTAATGCTTAACACAGTTCTACTATAAATCTGTTTAAAAATATTTTGAAAGTAAATATGCATGGACTTAAGTATAATTGACATCTACTTAAGTGTGTGGCTGTAAATACTGCAAAGCAACTGACATAATAACTATTCAAAAATCCAAAATATCCTCAAAATGGATATTTACTTCGGAGGTCTTCCAACCCTACATAATTAATCTCTATTTTCTTCTATGTTCATGGTAGTTACAAGAACTGCTTGAACAGGGATCTGCTTTTTGTTCAGAAAGCTAGGTGTGTTGGACAGAGGCAGACCCACCTGGCCATCTCTTCTGTGTATTTGGGGATGGAGGCCGATGGCTTTTATGTCAAATCCTCTTCACTCCTCTTAAGTTATATGCTCAGGCACTATTGCTGTTAGGCTTTGCCTTCCCTACAATTACATTATTTAAATACAAAGAACTGGCTTTTTGTGAAAGGTAAGATTGTTTTTGCCCTAATAATTAGAAGAAAAAAAAAACCATGGTGACTTTAGATATTTGCTTCATGTTCCTGGTGATCTGGGTGAATCCCCCTGTTTGCCATGAAGAGGCCATACTTTCATGCTGGCAGTTGTTTAAAGAAAGTACAGGAAATTGGTCAAGGTTAGATGTAGGGGTGAGATTTACTGATCAACTGGCACATGGGCCCTGTGGTTGCTTCTACTACACTTGGTGATGATGAGAGACGGGCGCAGATCTTAAAGGATTCATGTAATTAGTCATAATTCCTCAGAGAAAGCACAGTTGGGCAATGACTTCCTAATAGCTATTTGTATTTTTAGGCAAGCTGGCAACTGGGGCAAATTCTAATCTTTGCTATTTTGCCCTTATCGCATGCTCTTTCTCTTGGTACCTTGCCCCTTTGGACATCCTTCAGTTATCCAGAGTCTCTTGCTGGAATATCTTTTTTCAGGCCTGACTTCTCTTCTTAGCAATCTCTTCCAGACCATTCTTTCTTGGTGTGCTTGTGCCTGTTTCTCTGCATCTCAAGGGGTTTGCCTCTGGTTATCTGTCCACTTGATAAGAAAATCTGTTTCATATGTGCTAATGGGACCACATAAATTTAACAGAACTTTTGTGAGCATAGTATCTTAGCTGCTTATAAATAATTTGTTTAAAGTTTTAGCAAGACAGGTAAGGCTTGGAACTTTTATTCTGAAATTCCAAATTTCTTTCTCTAGACATGGTTTCTCCTGTAAAACTCATGGCTCTAATTCAACTAACCTGTACTTCTCTGTCAGGCTTTGCATTCACTGGAGACATTATCTTGTATCTACCTTAGTGAGCATGGCACTCAGAGGGCAGTGCCTTACAGGAGGAAATAGGAACCTGGGAGAGACAGATGTTAGGAGCAAATTATTCTGGCATTTAAATGATCTTAGAGAGAAAATAGAAAAATGATTTTAAATTCACTTTTGAGACTGAATTAAAGCCAGTTTCGCATCAGCATGATTTCTGTAAATTTAAGAAACTAAAAACAATTTATTAAGTGGAAAACATAAGCAAGTTTTGGAGTAATGCGTGGTGCATACTGACATCCTATGGCTGGATTAAGAAGAATATGACATAATTTAGATCCTGTTTCTAAGAATGTATAGGTTTCATACAATGAGAATTCTCCAAGTATTTCACATAGTAAGGGTATCAAATCCTCTTATAAAGGACTTCTTCGGAATAGGCATACGTACGTACATCTCCACGCTATATGAGGCAAAGAACAAGAGCAAAAGTCCTTTAATGATCAAGGCAGGAGTTTGCATTATCTCAATCATGAATAGTGTGTGTATCTTTGGGATCAATGGGACTGCTGATCCTCGAGCATTTGTAAATGGTGTTTCCTGGAAACACATCGTGGTTACAGCTGTGCCCTTTATAACTCAAGCTTATGCAGAGAAACAGCAATTCTTTTGTTCTAGAGAAACATTACAGATCAATATCACAAACCCCATTTTTCTCTGGGATCAGATATCTGACACTTTATCTCTTCCTCATTTATCATTTTATTGAGATTCATCAATTTATATTTTAATATTACAAAATTCAACATGATCACACGAAAAACCCTTGTATAACTTCAGCAAAATAATTGCTGAAAACATTTCCATATGACAATTTTACAGGAAGAAACACCATCACAAAACAGATATTTGTGTATTTCCAGTCAACAACACAAATTTCTGCCCCTCAGCACTTACAAAAGAAAGTTACATGGGTCATTAAAATCCAAGATGTAAAACCAGCCATCAATAAGGGAGACCTTATACACGCACATGGCTGTAGGCTTTTCAAGTTACCTTTCTGTATTAGCAAAAGGATTTTCTCTGGGGACTGATACCTGACACTTTTATCTTTTCCTCATTTATCATTTTATTGAGAGTCATCAATTTATATTTTAATATTACAAAATTTAAGACAATCACATGAAAGACCCTGTGTAACTTCAGCAAAATAATTGCGGAAAATATTTCAATATTATCAAATTCATATTATTTAGTTAGCTTTCTTTAGTGCATGTGATGAACCAACCTTAGTCCCTGATACCAGGAAAACTGTTTCCCCTAGAAGCTTCAATTGTGAAACTATTTCTTCTTTGAATGTCATTGCCATGCAGAGTTTAAGCATAGCTTTTGCTATAAGATCACCTCCTGGTTCACTTCACAAGTTCTCCTACATCCCCCAAATTTTATTGCATATGAATTTTTTCCATTGTAGTTCCTAGAAGTGGATAGTTAATGTGAACTGTAAGGATTCTTATAGGTTAATTGTTTGTGTTGTTTGGAAGCAACAACCTTTGAACCTCTTTTAGAGTTCAAAAATGGGTAAGTTATTTTTGTAGGGATTTTCCATTGGAAGTACTGTTAAGAAAGTCATAAACAAAATCAAACTACACAAATAGTTCTTCATCAGCCCTGGCAATGAGAACTGCTCTATTCGTCTGGGATCTGAGACACTGAAGGGCGGTGATGCCAGGGCCAAAGACTAATGAAAATCATGTTGCGATCTTCCCAGACTCCCAGCCTGTAGGACATGCTGTTTCTTCTCTTTATGTGTTTTCAAAAGTTTTATTTTTACTAGTATCTGTTAACAGTGGAATTCTGAGTGTGTTTTTGGCAGACATGTTCTGTTCACATAGAAATGTCGAATGCAGTAGGATGGAATGAGAAAACCTATAAAAAGATCTTAATTTTGTTTGCGGGTCTATTGGGAAAGTTCTGGGGTTTATGGTTTATAAAGGAATATTATAAAATAAGTTATGTATAAATTTGAAATATCTACCATATATTTAATACCAAAAGTCTTGTTGAGTACAAGCATTGTTGTTTATTCCCATGCTTCAGCTCAGAGTACACAACGTTATCAAAGCCAACACATAAGGACGACCCATTCTTTCAGATTTGTAAACATTAATAAGAGAGGGGTACCAGACTACAGTAGTTTTTTTCTCTAGGCAAGGTGTCCAGACAAAACTCACTTGTTCTGATTTTTTAGGTAGGTGCATTTCCTGCAGATTTCCTTGTGGTACAATTAAGAATAACTTGGACAAATAGTGTTAAACACAAAAAAACTCACTTGAAAATTTAAAGCAGTTATGTCGCATTATTGGATGTTTTTATTCCATAAATACTTAAGTTTTGGGTATTATTTAATTGAAATCTCTTTTGAGTACCTTCCTTATACCCAAAATACATGATTTTGAGAAAAATACATTGTAGTACAAGGACACTACATAGAAAAAAATTAAGTATTAACGCCAACTGATGAAATGGTAAAATACATAAAATATCCTTTTTATTCAATATTCTCTTAAGGATATGACTCTATGTGAATCACATATAAAATATAATGTAGACATAATATAATTCTATATTTGTAAATGTTTTTTTTTCAGTTTTTGCCCTCAAGATATGTTTATAAATTTGGTTAGTTATGAAAGAGACATCCAGGCATGGTGATTGTATGAGTCCCTGTCTTGAAAAACTGG